TAGATAGTGTAATGGTTATGTCACTGGACATCCACATAGGCAACTGTGGTTCAAGTCCCAGATGCACTGACTTAAGACTCACTCCAGGCACATGTGTGTGTGGCCCCAAGGTCCCAAGAGGAGAATAGAGGAAAAGGGATCGTGGCGTGGCCATCCCCCTCCCACCCAGGGGTGCGGGGGTTATTACTCACTTTCTGTCTGTCTCTCTGGTGAGAGCGCACACCACATAGCAAAAAAAAAAAAAAAAAAAGCAACTAAAAAGAATGATCAATTCATTCTTGACAACAAGAATTAGAGTTTCAATGCTGAGGCTGAGACTGAGGGTTCCACCTGCACTACCACACAACATGTGATATGTATACTATGCTAAAACAAATTAATTAATGCTAGTTCGAAGGAACAAGTGGGAACACTGATAAAATGTGAATTTATTGTGTGGTAAAAGCTAATGCATTTGTGCTTTTAAACTTGTATTACAGATCGACTTCTTTCATTGTACATTTAGCTAATCTATTTGAACTGGCATATGGTAGAATTAAGAAACATAAATCACATACTGATCAAGCATAAAGCTTCTTGAAACAAGTGAGAATGTTTATTAGTGGCAAACTACAGGTTGCTCATTTCTAATTACAAACACTTCAAAAATAGAAACGCTCCGAAATCTGAATCTTGTTGATCACAGACAGGAAGCCATTGGATGGTTCAATGTACACACATTTTCTGTCATGCATAAAATTCTTTAAAATGTTTCATAAAACTGCCTTCTGGCTATGTGAATAAAGGGTATAGGAAACAGTTATGAATTTTGTATGTAGTCGTGAGTCTCATTCCCAAGATATATGAATATGCAAATATTCCAAAGTCAAAATATCCTTCTAAACACTTCTGACCCCAGGTATTTTTGATAAAGGATATTCAACCTGTACTAAATTTTAACTGATGGTAAAACCAACAAACAGAAAAGCTAATGACTGAATAGTCAGAAACAGCTATCAGAAGCACCAGACAATGGCAATGTTTTGGTCAGGTGTAATAAATTAGAAGTATTCCTTCTCTCTTCCTCTAGTGCAGTGAATTATGTAGTTGATTGCTTATGCTACTTTGGGGAAGAAAAGTTGTTATTTACCATCTGTTTATAACTCTTCATGAAAAGTCTATGCTAGAGGGAACATGCACTCACTGGGGAGAGACAGAGAAAGAGAGAGAGACATGGGTGATGGTCACACTGCAGTCCCTTCTCCTTTTCTCCTTTTGGGACATTGAGCACACATGCACACAGGTCCAGTGTGATTTTTAAGGCAGAGTCTGGAACTTGGACCCCAGTCAACCCTGTGGGATCCAACGCCTTAACCTCCACACCACCAGCTGACCCTACATTTTTTTTTTTTAAGTGTTTGCCACTGAGTGCATGAGCTTGCCAGAGAGAGAGACAGAGAGAAGGAAAGTGAGAAATGACCTGCCGCAGGGGATGGTCATGCAAAAATTCTTTCTCCTTCTGGGATTTTGGGCATGCACGCACACTTGCCTGGCATGTTTTTCAAGCCCCTGGGTCCAAGACTCTAACCATGACCAACCATGTGGGAATCTGGTGCCTTAACCATCCTGCCACCTGCTGACTCCACATTTTTTTAATGTAAATAAAGGAATTGTTTTGGTGTTTGTGGTCTGAGTAGTTTCTTGTTATTATAAATAAAAATGAATTATTAGCCTATAAAAAGAAAATACATTGAAATTCTCCTTTCCAATGTTTTATTAATGAAATGATCTTGTAGATAAGAGGTTGATTAATGTCATTGTGTGTGTGGTAGTTTAAAATAAAGGATCAGCACCGACATAGTTGTCATTAATCCTTTGCAGTATTGACATAGATGGAAGGTGTTAAGGACCAGGTTTATTTCTCTACATTTCAAATCTGGGTCACTGAAAAATTTCCATCCATCTAAACTTTTTAGACTAAAAGTAATTTTAAAAAGATGCGATTTGATGGGCTTCTCACTGGTTCAAAGGGCTCAATACCAATTATTTCTCGGAAGGTTAATTTAGTTAGTTAAAAGCCTGGACTAACCTCTATTTAAAAATCTGATTACTAAATTTTTTCCATGCATTATATCTCAGTTAATCTTCATAACCATTTTCTTGCAAATGGTACTACTTTCATAAGTTACAGCCCTGGATGTCAGAAGAACAAAATGGAATTGGCAGGGCTAAAATCAAGGTGTTGCTGGGGTTGCCCTCTGGAAGCTTTAGGCTCTCTTGCCTTTTCCAGCTTCTAGAAGCTGCCTGCATTCCTTGCCTAGCAGTCCTGCATCAATCTGATGTCTGCCATTCCACCACATCCTCTGGTTCTCCTGCCTCCTGCTTCAGGTTGAAAGGATTTTTTTGAGAGATTTTTGGTATAAGACACGTGTGTTCACTGGAGAGAGAGAGAGAGAGAGAGAGAGAGAGAGAGAAAAAGGCGCCCCACCTGGGGCCCCATTCAACAATCTGCCCCACTCCTAGCTGGCCCACACCATGGGCGTATGCAAACTTACCTATGTATGTAGGGAGGACTCAGGACGCCAACCCAGGAACTTCTCATGTAAACCCAGTTGCAGTGACACTAAGCCACCATGCTCTTTCTCATAACTTTTCTTCTATCACAAAGAAAATCATGAAATTTTTTCCCCTGGATCTTGTATTTTTCTGTTTCCAGAATAACCTGGCTCACTCTCAACCCAAACTAGACTGTTCAAATCATGAACTGATGATCCAGGAGAAAAGTGGTTCACTGAGTCTTACATCAGAGAGTGCAAAGAAGAGGCCTTCTTTGCTGTTCCAGAGCTCCTATAGGGAAGCACATCCTGCTCTCTTTGGGAGGGACTCCACAGACAAGTGCTGTCATCAGGTACATGTGTCTGAAGGTGTCTTTGATGGAGTGGATGCAAAGCCTTTATGGAAGACCCACATGTAGGAGGAATCCTGAGAGAATTCAGAGGGCAACCATAGCATCCTGCCAGGGAACTAACTGTGCAGACTACAGTTCTCATGGGAGAGAACTGAAAAACAAGGCTGGACAGGCAGGTCGAAGTCATGCATGAAGCTCCAGGTTAGCTGGGCTGAGCAGAAGAGAAAAACTCATCATAAAAAGCCTTGGGAACATAGAAGAGGTGATTCCACCCATCGCAGATGGCACAGTTAGAGAAGCCCAAAGTAGGGGAGAGTTGCAAAGCCCATGGTATTTTGTAGCTGATTGCTTATGCTACTTTGGGGAAGAAAAGTTGTTATTTACCATCTGTTTATAACTCTTCATGAAAAGTCTATGCTAGAGGGAACATGCACTCACTGGGGAGAGACAGAGAAAGAGAGAGAGACATGGGTGATGGTCACACTGCAGTCCCTTCTCCTTTTCTCCTTTTGGGACATTGAGCACACATGCACACAGGTCCAGTGTGATTTTTAAGGCAGAGTCTGGAACTTGGACCCCAGTCAACCCTGTGGGATCCAACGCCTTAACCTCCACACCACCAGCTGACCCTACATTTTTTTTTTTTAAGTGTTTGCCACTGAGTGCATGAGCTTGCCAGAGAGAGAGACAGAGAGAAGGAAAGTGAGAAATGACCTGCCGCAGGGGATGGTCATGCAAAAATTCTTTCTCCTTCTGGGATTTTGGGCATGCACGCACACTTGCCTGGCATGTTTTTCAAGCCCCTGGGTCCAAGACTCTAACCATGACCAACCATGTGGGAATCTGGTGCCTTAACCATCCTGCCACCTGCTGACTCCACATTTTTTTAATGTAAATAAAGGAATTGTTTTGGTGTTTGTGGTCTGAGTAGTTTCTTGTTATTATAAATAAAAATGAATTATTAGCCTATAAAAAGAAAATACATTGAAATTCTCCTTTCCAATGTTTTATTAATGAAATGATCTTGTAGATAAGAGGTTGATTAATGTCATTGTGTGTGTGGTAGTTTAAAATAAAGGATCAGCACCGACATAGTTGTCATTAATCCTTTGCAGTATTGACATAGATGGAAGGTGTTAAGGACCAGGTTTATTTCTCTACATTTCAAATCTGGGTCACTGAAAAATTTCCATCCATCTAAACTTTTTAGACTAAAAGTAATTTTAAAAAGATGCGATTTGATGGGCTTCTCACTGGTTCAAAGGGCTCAATACCAATTATTTCTCGGAAGGTTAATTTAGTTAGTTAAAAGCCTGGACTAACCTCTATTTAAAAATCTGATTACTAAATTTTTTCCATGCATTATATCTCAGTTAATCTTCATAACCATTTTCTTGCAAATGGTACTACTTTCATAAGTTACAGCCCTGGATGTCAGAAGAACAAAATGGAATTGGCAGGGCTAAAATCAAGGTGTTGCTGGGGTTGCCCTCTGGAAGCTTTAGGCTCTCTTGCCTTTTCCAGCTTCTAGAAGCTGCCTGCATTCCTTGCCTAGCAGTCCTGCATCAATCTGATGTCTGCCATTCCACCACATCCTCTGGTTCTCCTGCCTCCTGCTTCAGGTTGAAAGGATTTTTTTGAGAGATTTTTGGTATAAGACACGTGTGTTCACTGGAGAGAGAGAGAGAGAGAGAGAGAGAGAGAGAGAAAAAGGCGAGGAATCACCCCCCAGGGGGGAGGGCTATGCCGCAATCCTTTCTCCTCCATTCTTTTCTCTGGATCTTAGGCATGCACACACACTCACCTGGTGGGAGTTTAAGCTGCCAGGCCCAGGACTTGAAACGTGGTCGACTATGTGGGAGTCCAGCGACGTAACCATTACGTCACCTGTGGGTCCCAAGATGTTGGTTCTGAGGATGTCAGCTGCTAGGCCTGCCAGTTAATTTGCTCCTCAGCCCAGACACACTGAAGCAGTACTGCTCTGAGGTGCTCTGGAGTAAGACACTTTGTTTCTCGTTCGCCTGTTGGAGGAATTACTGATTACATCCATGTTGGAGTAGGTAGCACGGTGCTCTCTTGCCTGCAATGTTTAACTCAAGTCTTATTCTTTTAGTCCCCGGAGCCAAGGAAAACCATTTGCATGTCCAGAGAAGAGTTCACGCAGAAGATGACAGAGGTCGTTGGATGGGGCACGGAGGAACAATATGGGGAGCTCTTTGACAAAGTGGATGTGGCCCAAGATGGCTTCATTAATTGGGACAAGCTGGCTTCTTTCTTACTGTTAGCCCTTAATGAGAAAGATGAACGAGCAAAGGCCACTGTGGTTCCCCAGTGGAAGGACCTTGAATTCCTCCCAGTGAAACACAAGGACACGATTCAGAAAGTAGTATTTTTAAAAAGTTCAAATCGTTATCTGACTATCAGTAAAGAAGGTTCATTAGGAATCTGGGGAGAGAATTTAAAGCTGCAGGAAACACTTCCCATCACTTCCGATGCTACGAAGCTCAAACACCTGTGGGTGACGAGTCTTGTCTCTCTGGAAAATGTAAACAAGGTATGAAGTTTCTATAACTTAATTCACTGCATGTAAAGGGGCAGAAATGATGGGACAGGGCTCCTGGTCAGTCACTTTCAAGCATAACACAGAGGTGAGAGAAAGCTGCATTACCCTTTCGGTATCTCTCCTCTGTCCAGAGCAGGAAAGCAAGTCGAATCAAGCAATCTATTCGATTTTCCAAACTGTTCTCTTGGGTCCTTTAAAGTGACACCACTGATAATGGCTCCAGGTCTTGGCTCTGTCCCAAAATGGCCATGCTACATTATTAGTTGATAAAATCTTTTTACTCCTCTATGGTTTACAGTAGGATCAGGGATCTAGATGCAGAGCGGAGAGGCTATTTCAGGGCATGGCACAGCTCAAGCAAGTTAGGGGAGCTGCTTATCTGATTTTGATCACTGTACTAGTCAGTTTCTTAATTCTGATAGATAGGGCCCACTCAGTCCCAATGTCTTCATTTAACTTTATCTGTTAGCAAGATAACATACTCATATTGTATGGAAATGAGTTCGCAGAAGATTACAACTCAAAAAAATACCATATTTCGAATTAAGATTATATGCTTAATTATATATAAAGCAGATGGAAAATTTTACTATGAAAAGTTTTAAATGAACAAGAAGAGCATGATATTAAGAACCTAGTGTATCTAGCATTCGCCCTTAGCCATTTTCAATTCACACTCAATCTCGTTTCATCTATACCTCCCTCTGTTAAGATTTAAAGCATCATATCATTTCTCTGTAAATATGTCAGTGGCTTTTTTTTTAAAACTCTATTTTGTAGCATAGCCAAAGTACCACTGTGATAAAATATTAACAGCAACAAATCCTTAATACATTAAATTATCCAGTCAAGTACATATTTTCCTGATTGTCTTATACTGTTTTAATAGTTTGAATCAGCATATGAATAAGGTCGAAATTCGGTGAATGGGTGATACATCTCTTTTGATCCACGTGTTTTCTTTTATCTCTTCTTTTCTCTTGCATGTTCTAGCTGTTGCTGGTTTTGTTAAAGAAACTGGGTGTTTGTCCTTCAAAGTTCCTCACAGTCTCAAGTTTGAAGGCCATAGCTAGTGGGGTTGTTTAACATGCTCAGCTCTTCCTTGGATTTCCAGTAAATTGGTAGTCACGTCTAGAGCATTGATCACTTTCAGATTGATTCATTTGTTTAGAATACGTGGTCTTGTATTCTTCAGGGGGGAGGTGCAATATGTGTGGTTCCTTCTGTTTTGGGAATGTTAGTGGTTACTGTTGATCATTTCTAGGTCATTAATTTATTAGGAATTATCAGATGATGATATTCTAAGCCCATTATTTCCTCTCCATTCATAAGCTGAAACACTTTTGTGAATAGAAATTGTCCTCATTAATTATTCAGTGACCATGCAATGCAAACGATATAACAGAGGATACATTCTTTCTTCACTTTTACTGACCAGTTTTCAAAATAATGAGCTGGCTCTAATATCCTCCAAAGATGAATAAAAAGTACTATCAACATTATTGTTATCAATATAAGTAAAAACTCATGGGTTTAAAAAAAAATGATTTATTTAAGTCACTGAGTTAACCCATGCCAAAATTATACCACCCGCAGATAGTAGGAATTAACACAGAAGAACTTCTGAGTCTTTTTACATCCGTATCAGTCTTTGAAAACTTGTCTCCTTCATGTGATGGCAAAATATTTCAGGACGGTCTTGTGTATTTCTTGTGCCAGACCTACAAGCAGCCATTTCTCAAAAATATGAGTATTTTAGTGGTAAGTAGGATGCTCTAATGCCTGGGACCACGTATCTAATTCATGGTCATCATCAGTAACATCCTATTTGACTTGCCCTTATCTGCTAATCCTCTTACAATCATCAGTAAGTACATATTGTCCCCATTTGTAGAATGAGGGACTGATCTGGAAGTTGTCAAAAGTTGTATAATTTGCCGAGTCACACAGGATGTAATCAGTGGTGCCAAGATTTGTAAACTGAGGCAGCGGATTTTAGGCCAAGCTTTAGAATTTTTGCTGAGTCCAGCATGGCTACTGACATTGGGTCCAGTTCCTTCTTGCTGCGTATCTGGTGTTCATGCTTAACGTGTTTGGATCAAAAGATAGTTCTAGTCTACATTATGTTCTTTAAAAACCATCTGAGTTCAATCTTCTGTTATTATCATGAGACATTTATGTTGCAGTTTTTCTTTTTAGGTTGATAACTAAAACGTAGCCTTTCTTTTGTATACGGGGACTTCAAAATATTTGAGGAAAAATGGAATTAAAGTGTGACTGTTTTGGTGGAAACGTTTTTGAAATTCATGCATAATTTTTTAAATACATATCTCCCATGAACTTTTAGAAGACCCCAATACTTACTCGACATATAATATTAAATACTATTGCCTTTTTAAATTTTTTAGGTTTTACCCATAGGGTGTGTGTGCTCACTGGAGCGACAAAGAGAGACAGAGAGGAAGAGTGAGAAATCATCCCTCAGAGGGGATGGCCACACCACAATGTCTTGTCCTCCAGTCTCCTCTCGGAACTTGGGGCATGCATGCACATGGGTTTGGCATATTTTCAGGCTGCCAGGTCTAATGTTCGAGCCACAGAGTTGGTTATGTGGGATCCAGGACCTTAACACCATGTCACTTGCTGGCCCTCCCTGTTTTTTTTTTTTTTTTTTTTTTTAACATCTTTACTGAGTTATAAAACAAATATTTTGCACATATTAAAAATAACCCAACAAATATTTTGCACATATTAAAAGTATCCCAACAAATATTTTGCACATATTAAAAGTATCCCAAGTTTATAATTTTGATATGTGTATGTACCCGTGATAAAACAACAGTTCAACAGACATAACACATGTAGTGCAGAAACTCAGACATTTCCCTGCCCCCTTTGTAATCCCTTCCCCACCCTCCTTGTCAGGCTACCATGGATCTGCTTTTTGTCACTACAGGTGGGTTTTCATTTGCTAGAGTTGTGCCTAATTGGCAGAATATGTGTTTCTTCTTGGCAGAGGGGTCTGGGTTCTTTAACATGGCATCATTATTTTGAGATTTACCATGTTGTCAGGTGTATCTGCAGCTATTTTTCTTTATTGCCACGATATATTCCATTATGTGGTCATAGCATATTCTTACCAACATTTGGCATGATCAGTTATTTTGTTTTTTGAATTTTAGCCATTTAAAAATATTTGTATTGGTATCATTGTGGGTTTAATTCTCTTCCCTAATGACTAATGATGTTCAATATATTGTTTTGTGCTAATTTGTTCCCCTATATATCTTCTTTGGTGACGTACCTGTTCAAATATCTTGCCCATTTCTTATTTTTTGTTGAGTTTCGAGAGTTCTTTATATATATATATATATATATTCTGAGTGCATGCATTTCTCAGATGGATACTTTACAACTAATGCACCCTGGTCTGTATTTTGTCTTTTTCATTCTCTTAACACTCCTTGTGCTTATCTCATTTTCAGGTTGTCTGTTGTATAGAAATACAATCAATTTTAATGATCATGTACCTGCAAATTTGCTGAACTCTTTTGTTAGATCTTGAGTTTTATTTGTGGATTTCCTATATCTTTGATTATGCCACCCATGAATATAAATAATTTCACTTCTTCTTTTCCAATATGGATACTTTTTGTCTTTGTCTTGTCCATTTCCCTGGCTAGAAACTTCAGGATCATGTTGAATAGAAGTGGTAAGAATGAACGTCCTTGCTATGTAACTGATATTAAGGGGAATATATTAAGTATTTCACCATTAGGTATAATGTCAATTGTAGGCTTTATTTTTTCTGTTTGTTTCTTTTTTTCTTTTTGTTACAATCTTTTTTTTATCAGGTATAAGAAGTTTCTTCCTACTGCTGATTTGGTGAATGTTTTTATTACAAAAGTGTGTGTTAGATTTTGTCAACTGTTTTTTCCCCCATCTATTGTGATAATCATATAGTTTTTGTCCTTTATTCTATTAATATGATGTATTACATTGATCGATTTTTGTATGTAAAACCAACCTTACATCCAAGGATATCACTTGGCCGTGATATATAGTCATTTTTTGTATGTTGCTAGATTTTCTTTGTTAGTATTTAGTTCAGTATATTTGCATCTATATTTATGAGGGATATTGGTCTGCGATTTTCTTTTCTTGTGATGTCTTGTCTGGTTTCAGTATTAAAATAATAATGGCCAGCCTGATAAAATGTTTTGGGAAGTGTTCCTTCCACTTCAATTTTTTTGAAGAGTTTTAGAAGAATTGGTGTTAGTTCCTTTGAAGGTTTGGTAAAATGTATCAGTAAAGCTATCTATCAAAATTGTGAATAAATATTTTTGTGGCACTTTTTTTTTAAATTGCTAATTCAATCTTGTTATGTTGTGTTATAGATCTGACTTTATTTCTGATTTTAATTTGTGTCTTCTCTCTCTCTATCTCTCTCTTTTTTTTTTTTTCGTAATTGCCATAGGGTGCATGCACTTGCTGGAGAGAGTCAGAGGGAGAAAAGGAAAGTGAGAAAATATCACCCAGGAGGGTTGGCCATGATGCAGTCTCTTTTCCTCCATTCCCTTCTCAGAATTTTGAGAATTTTGAGAAGGTGCATGCACAGGACTCAGTGTGTTTTTCAAGCCACTGGGTCTGGTGTTTGAATCGCATAGTTGGCCATATGGGACCCCACTGCCTAACCACCATGCCACTAACTGGCCTGTATCTTCTTTTTTCATGGTTAATATATATGAGGAATTGCTAATTGTGTTGATGTTTCCAAAGAACCAAGTTTGGATTTGTTGATTTTCTCTATTGTTTTTCTAGTTTCTGTTTTATTTTTGTACTCATTTCCATCATTTCTTCCCTTTTGGTTGCTTTGAGTTTAGTGTGCTCTTTTCTTGTTTGTTTATTAAAATACAATATTGAGTTATTGATTTGACATTTTTTTATATTGATGAATTTTACTCTAGGCATTGCTTTTATGGCACCCCACAAGTTTTATATGTTGTGTTTTTGTCTTCATTTTTCTCAATCTATTTTCTGTTTTAACATTTAAAAAAAATGGTAGAGCATATGTGCATGCATGTGCATGAGGGAAAG